GGCCGCAGCAGTCATACTCAGACACCACCGCGCTTCGCCAAGCTCGACTTCGCCACCTACGACGACACCGAAGACCCCCTCAACTGGCTTAATCAGTGTGAGCAATTCTTCCGGGGGCAACGCACGCCCGCATTGGACCGCACCTGGCTCGCCTCCTATCACCTCCGAGGCGTCGCACAGACGTGGTATTACGCCCTCAAGCAGGACGAGGGCGGCATGCCCCCATGAGAGCGCTTCCGTGAGCTATGCCTCCTTCGCTTCGGGCCGCCGATACGCGGGAGCCGGCTGGCGGAGTTGGGCCACCTTCCCTTCACCTCTACGGTGCAGGACTTCGTCGACTGCTTTCAGGCCCTGGCATGCCATGCGCCTGGCGTGACGGCTCGCCAGCGGGCCGAGCTCTTCGTCGGCGGTCTGCTGTATCATATACGAGTGGACGTGGAGCTGCGTGGACCCCAGAACCTCCAGACGGCCATGTACTACGCCAGCGCGTTCAAGCGCCGCGCGGTGGCCATCCAGCAGGCATCACCATCCCGGGCCGCTGGGCCGCCACCCTGGCCAGACGTTCCCGCGCAGGGTCGGCCTGCTCAGGCTTCCGCGGCACCCCTCGCCGCGACTGCGGCGTGCCCATTCCGTCGGCTCACCTCGGCCGAGCTACTCGAGCGCCGCCTCCAAGGGTTGTGCTTCAACTGCGACGAGCCCTGCGTGTCCGGCCACGTCTGCCCGTGACTCTTCTACCTGAAGGCTGCGGACTACATTGAGGAGGACGCCGCCGCCGCCGCCGGGCTCGACGACCTGCCCGCCCCGGCTTACGTGGAGGTGTTTAACGCCGGTTGATCACCTCGAGGAGTTTCGCATGCGCTTCCCCGCCTTCTAGCTCGAGGACGAGTTGTTTGTGCAGGCAGGGAGAAATGTTATGACTGGCATATTAGGGGCTTAGCCCAGTTAGTTGTGGCCCAAGTTTATCTTATCGTTATTAGGGAGCTTAGCCCAATTATCTTATTAGGAGGATTATATAAACTCATGTAAGGACCCGTTTTGGGATTGAGCAAGAAGCAATCATATTTGCTCGGCTTCCTTAGGGAGCCGGGAGACCTAACCCTAGCCGCCTCCTGCCAACGCTGCCGCCTCCTCCCTCGCGCACGATGGCGCCCAGCCGCCGCCGGCCGCGTGTTCGTCCACGTCCAGCTCCCTCCTTCCCCTACAACCTCCGGCGTAGACCCGGTAGAACCCTAGTTCCTACCATATTTTATTTGTGTTATAATAATACCAATGTACACCATTAAAACATTTCTAGTGCTTTTGAGCCTTTCACCAATGTAAACCATTAAAACACACTGTACACATTCAATCTTTGTGAAGAGAAGGCTACGAATTAAGTTTTAGAAATAGAAGAATTCGAAATAGATCTACAACTTGCTCTGCTACACATGACACATAACAACTTCGGAGCAATAACTAGCAACTGCCTTTTACGCTACAAATAACCAAGATTGATAAGGTCTCCAAAACATCACATCTATCAGATGAAGAAAATAAATACTAGGCTGATCTTGGTGCCAGTTTATCTAACCAAGATAGGATTATCGCAGCTCCTTTCTCCCACGAGCAATCTAACATCATATCATGTGCTACCCCTTCCACACAGACAGGTTGCACGTTGTAAAATCTTGCAGTTTCAGAAAGCCCTTCCGCATCCTAGATAATGGAAATGTTTAGAGCATGAGAAACGAAACATTTCTTTTGTATGTGCGAGAGATTTGTTTGGGGGTTGGGTTCACTCACAACAATGAAATCATTGCTTGCACCCATGACAAGGATTTCTAATGTACCATCTGTGGCAGAAGGTACAGGCAATGATGCATTGAGCTTCCTCAAGTCAAATAGTGGCAACTTTGAGCTTTCCTTCATTAGATTTTGGTACCTAAAACATGATGTCGTAGATTGTTGATGAAAGAAAAGAGGCATTTAGACTGCAAATGGCTTATGTAAGCTGGAGATGGTATGCGAACAATAAATACCTCAGGACAAGTTCATCATCCATTTGTGATGAGAAAAATGTTTCTTTGCAGAGAGGCAATGAATTTGCATATGCTTTTGCAGCCAAGCTGAGTGTAACCTGATAGCAAGATGAATAAAACTTCATGTATGCGCATGAACAAATTCACGTGACACAAACAAAGTATTCAATACTGATGGCTTGAAGAGAGACATGAATAGGTCATTCATAGTTTGAAGCAAAGAAATGGTTGCATGTAGTACATGAAGTGTATGATACTCCCTCCATTCCTAAATATAAGTCTTTTTAGAGATTCAAATATGAACTACATACCGAGCAAAATGAGTGAATCTACACTCCAAACTAGGTCCATATACATCACTATCTAGTCCATAGTTAAAGGCATTTTGGAGACCGAGCTCCATGGAGCCCTTTATTTTGAAAAATTCAAAATTCATAAATTTCGGTTCAAACATATTCTGAAAAAAATTACACATGTATGCAAGGATGTAAAGTGTATGTGTGAAAAATTTCAGGATGAAATACCTTGAATTGCGAGCTGCACAAAAAAAATCATGGACTTTAAAGATGAACAGTACATGTGCTAAAAAGCCCCAGATTTGTCTTTTTTGTGTAGCTCACATTTTATTGTATTTCGACCTAAAAATTTGCACACATGTATATTATGTATCTAGATATTTGTGTATTTATTTTTAGAAATTTTTAAAACTGAAAAGTTTGAATTTTGAAGTTTTCAAATAAAGGCCTCCATGAAGCTCGGTCTCCGTTTGGCATTTTCGATAGTTAAATCTCTAGAAAGACTTATATTTAGGAATGGAGGGAGTACATGCAGAAGCAAAGAAAGTCAACAAGTATGGATGGGGTAATTCAGGTCTAATAAACAGTGGATCAGCAAACTTATCCAGACTCCACCAAAGAGAATTGGGAGAGTTAAAATAGGCATAAGGAGTTCAAGCCAATTGTACAAGGAGAAGAAATGACTGCCAACAAGCATGGTGATTCATACAGAGCATTGCGAAAGTGAACCTTCACTAAGTTTGTTCAGTGCTTGATGCTATAATCTTGGTTTTTGACTCGCGACTAGTCAAGTCGCCGCCAACCCTGCAGCTCGGCGATTAGTCGACCCAAGTCGCTGTATAGTCGCCATAAGTCGCTGTATAGTCGCGAATCACCCTGATTTCTAGGAAACGACTTGGCGATTAGTCGGCGACTATACAGCGACTAATCAGCGACTCAAAAACCATGGCTATAATTAGCAAGCACTCCATATTAAGAAAAAATTGGATTTGCTCAAAAGGGAATTGATTGATGACTGCATGATAAGTGAATGTTCAAGCCTTCAAGGCATTTCATACCTGGCAAGTAAAAACAGAGTATAACACCCACCACAGGTGATAGAGTAAATGCTAAACTAAAAAAATGTATATACAAGGCATGTCAGTATCACACTGAAATTCAGATGGCTGAATGATAAAACTCGAAGGAAAAGGATAAATTATAGTTCAGTTTTACCTTGATAGCAGCAATTGGTTTAGTCAAAAGGTAACGCCATACTAATCCACTGGAGAATGATATAAAGGAGTTAGATCACAATGATAGTAAGTTATAAATAAGATGGTAAATGTGTAGCAAACAACAATAGGAACACCTGTTTCCCGAGGGAGGTACAGAACAGACAAGAACAGCGCCAGAAAGCTTTGGATGAAGAGGTTCTGAACCTATAATAGAAAAGGTGGCATGTAGTGACTTTACCATAGATGGAGACAAACATTACTTTTTCATTCAGAATAATGAGACTAATTATTCTTAGCAAAATGTGGATGCTAATACACTGAACATCCAAAAAAGAGTGAAATCAGATATGATGTTGGGCTGATAAAGGACTAAACTTTACTCGACTAATTAACATGAATACTATGACCAATGAGTAGTTCTAAGAAAACACGACATTGATACATACAAGGTCCTCAAAGAAAATAACTTTTGCACGTCTCAAGGAAGACCAGAAGATCAGAAAAGTGCATCCATTTTGCTATTATTACGACTTAGCATGCAAAAAAGGATATTTGGAAATTAAAATAATACTCCCTCCGTTCCCAAATATAAGTCCTTTTAGAGATTCCAACAAGTGACTACATACGGAGCAAAATGAGTGAATCTACACTCTAAAATATGTCTACATACATCCGTATGTTGTAGTCCATTTGAAATGTCTAAAAAGACTTATATTTAGGAATGGAGGGAGTAGTATTTGAAAATGAGTATGGCACTTCAAGATAAAAGTTTCACAGAATTTTGATAATGGATGAATATTTTTTTCCTTAAAATCGTAACAAATTAATAGCTGAAGTTAATTTGGAAGTGCTAAAAGTGTTAAGGTTATTATGTTTGAAGTTAAACAGTGTGTTTGGACTCTTCAGGATACATGCTAACTCAACTTATGCGCTCCACCTCTTAGTTTAATAAAAATGGCATATCTTATTAGATGAAAAATACTACTACTCTGATTCATATTACTTGTCGCTCAAACGGATGTATCTAGACGTATTTTAGTGCTAGATACATTCATTTGAGCGACAAGTAATATGGATCGGAGGGAGTATCAATACTTTGGAATGGATAAATTCATTCCAAAGGCTTATTTTTACACAGATAAAATTTGGCACAACCAGGGACCCATGGTTTCCATCCTTCTCAGCAATCAGACTTCTTGAGATTCTTGACATTAATCACAGTTAAACCACGTCCTTCTAATCATAGGACAAGAATAATTTCAAGGTCACTCACTGTTCATCCAGAGAAATCCCTAACCCCTGTCAGAGCCAGAGCAGGATTAAACAATCTATGGTCCTCTCTCCCTCTCCCTCTCTCCTCTCCATCTCCCTCTTATGCTTATGTCACGCAACCTGGTAAGAAAATAGAACACAACTAGTCCTTTGGCAGAACATTGTACACATGTTCACTGTTCAGCCATTCAAAAAACAGTAGCCCAACATGCAGTAATTAACTTTCAGACTGCTGCAGAATCTGCTAATGTCCATGTGGTTTGATGATCCACCATAGGTACTGTGGCAGATAAGAAATGAAGCAAGCTTCTGCTGCGCCCTATAGAACTGAGAATCACACCCCCCCCCCCTTACCCACTAAGAAGGAGCAAGACTAGAGTTATGCAGATGCAGAAATAATACTTGGATTGAAGAAGGATAACGTGGTTGAAATCCTTTTTGATTTGGTGTTTTCAGGGAAAAGGTTATCTGTTTGTGTGCTAGGCTCAACTCGAGAACTTGTGTACTATAATTTTTTATTTATTTTTGAGAAAAGAACTTTATGTAACAATTTTCATCTATGCCAAAGGATCGGTTCTTTATGTAATACCCCCTCTGTTGATTTGTGTAAGGTGTCCAGTTTTTTCCAGCTTTACCTTTGATTAGCAATTAACAATTGGTTCAACAGTATGCGCATTATGTGATACATAATTGATACCTTTGGATTTGTATTCAAAAGTATTTTGATATAGCTGTATTTCGTAACTATGAACAAAGTATTTACAAGAAGTTTAAGGTGAAGGTTCAACTTTGGAAAGCATGGGCACCTTATATTTTCTGGTAGAGGGAGTAAGACCTAGCTTTTGTTAGCATGTCTAAACCATGGGTATGGATCATGGTATCATGTAATACTACGACTCTACCAGCACTCTATAATACTGATCTTAAGATGGACCGCAATCTGAAAGGATCTTGGTTGGACTGTGATCCAACTCGTGACATTGTTAGAATCATGACGCGGTTCAAATTGTGCATAACCCACACTGAGGACAAAAACAACCTTGACAACCGCTCAAAAGCGGCATTGAGCCCTCTCCAAATGGGCCATCGTCTTTGGTTCTGCAGAAAATGCTTGTAAACGAGTTGTCATCTTTGTATGTGGCAATGTTACTCAAACTTTTGAAGTCTATTACTCCAGTTGTCCTACCTCAGCATGTTATCTGGCTGCATGAAGCAGTGGGGTGCATGCATGCATAAATTGATGTTCAAAGCCGAATGAGCTTCTAGTAGCACAGATGCTCAACGGTGCACTCAATGATGCGACCTAACTTAACATGAAATCCCAGAGGCCTTCTAATACACTATAGTTGCCAGTTTATGCTATCTTCCCATGTGTATGCTTTTGAATTAATTATTACTTTCAGTATCAGTAATCACATAATATATTAGGAAGTTACTCCATTTGTCTACATAATTGGGTTGGATAATCCACTTTAGGTATTATCTTACAATATGTCAATTGGTTATACTTACAGATAAAACACCATAATATTGTGATAATACGGTACAGTCTATGATCCAACACTGCTGGTAAGAAAACCATACTACCCAGTATGCTTGAACTTATAACCTTGAACCTTGGTTGAAAGTACATCTTTATGCAGTTAACAATTCTACGAATGTTAGCAAAGAAGATAGTCTTTCACTTGGTCAATTCCTTTCCAAGCATCACATTTATTTGTTAACACGAGGTTGGGAAGAAGTACAAACATGCTGAGCATGGCAAGAATGCTCCAGAGTAACATCCATAATACAAGAGTTTACCATTGGTGAGAGCATACCTTGTAGGCATGACATATATTGCTGCACAATCAAGCCTCCAAATGAATGTCCAATTAGTATAGGTGGGACAGGGACCTCCTTTCGGATGAAATCAGCAATATCGCCAGTATGTGTCTACTGCAAGTCAATCACACACTGGGCTGACTCTTGTGAGATAATAAAGAAATGCAGTATGGTACAACCATTGCTGAAGTATTACAGTGAGCAATGCTCTTAGTTGCAGGAAGTGGTGCATTACTTGCAACTTTGTGGGTGATTTATGCTACACATACAGAGTCACAGAATAACATAAATTACTCTGAATGCACCTCAGTTTCGCCAAATTACCTCAAGCGTGCCAGCCACTGTGTCAGATGGAATGCTGCTTTCACCCTGCAAGAGATCATAAGTCAATTAAAGTGTGACACCTCGGTAAGAAATGCTACATTATACATGTCTTGTAAAAATGCTCACAATTGCTGCAAGTTCACTTCATAAAATCATCACCACTGTTTGACAACCCAAACACACTATGTTGCGTATGTTATAGAGCATTTTAATTGGCTATTCAACAGCATTCATCATCAAATTGTCTCTCTTTTTTTTGCGGAACATCGTCAAATTATCTGAATTCATCTCGCATTTTCGGTTTCTGGAATGCGCAGGCTCACTAACGTTAGCCCCACCAGCATCGGAGCAGTTCAACAAGAAGCCCAGATGCATGCCTGACTAACTACCTGTGCGCGGAGGCTGAGGGCGAAGCAGGGGTATCCGGCGCGCGAGAAGAAGGGCAGCCAGCGCTCCGCCCAGCACCAGGCCGCGTGGAAGCTCCCGTGCACGAACACCAGCGGCGGCCGCTCGCTCCTTCCCGGGGTCGAGGGCGGAGAAGGCGGTTGCTGGGCTATGACCTCGAGGTCGAGGCCGCAGGGCAGGCGGTGGGAGCGGCGGGACTGGCCCTCCTGGAGCGTGTAGGCGCACGCGGCGCGGAGGGGCCTGGTCCTCCTCATCATCGTCGTGGTTGGCGACGCCCGCGGTGGCATTGTTGGGGAGATGGAGAGGCGGGGAAGGGTGAGCACGGACGCGGAGGTGGCCATGGGTGGCATTTGGCGGCGAGGATTGGGATGATGCAAGGAAAAAGTCTATTTTAAGCCCTGAATTGGTAGAGGTTAGCCAAAATGAATCCCAAACTCCAAATTCCTGTCCTTTGCACCCTAATCTATTTGATCTCGGTCCAAATCAAACCTTGGGATCGTGTGCCAAACAGGAATTGTCGACGTGCCAAGGCGTTGTCGGGATTGGTTGGCGCGCGAGATAGAATTAAACTAGGTCGGCCCTAAATAAATCTCCAGTGCTCGGTCATGTTGAGCTGAAGAAATTAATTGTGACTGGATCCTGGTATATATGGTGGCAACGGAGGGAATATGTAAAGGAATCATATGTAGCATCGCTAACTCGGTCGGCATTCAGAATTCAGGTTTTAACAAGTAATTTTGGTGCTGCACGTCACAAAGCTATCCCACATTATATAAGTTGGTGCAAGCCCCCGGAGAACATGTATAAGCTGAATGTAGATGCATCTTTCTTGGAAGATGGAACGGGAGGTGCAGGAGCTGTAATTTGTAACGATCTTGGAGAAGCAATTGCGGGTTCTTATACACCTCTTAGTCACTTGTTTAATGCTTCTATGGCGGAAGCAAATGCCTTGCTGGAAGGACTCAAGCTTGTAGACAGAATTGGATGTACTCCGGTAATTATGGAATCAGATTCTCTTGAGTTAGAGCCTGTTCTGAACTCCTCCCGCTCCATACTTCTCAATCTCCAGGCAAGGGGCCGGACAGAACGCCTGGGCTCCGCGGAGTTAGCTTCCTGAAGCGTTGCGAGCCAGCAGTGTAAAAAGCTGAAGCTGCTAAAGCCCAGCTTCACCAATTGGAGAAGTGAGGAGTTGGTAATAATTACGAGGGAATGCCACCGCTAAGTAAAATAACGGTTCGTGAAACAATTCCCCCGACGCCTCTCGATGCCTGCCTCGCTTCAACTCTGTGCGAGCGCACGTGGCCAACCCTCCTCCATAGAAAGATGCAGTGTGGGGCCATATGGGCTGCCTCGAGCTGGCCCAAATTGGCGACCAATAGGCTAGTAGGCTCCCAGCTGGGCCGAATTGCTGGGAGAAGCTACAGGTGTTGCCGAACGGATGAAATCGCCAAGTGAAGTTAGAAGCTAGCTCCAGAAGCTAATTTTGTGGAGTTTGGGAAGCTGGGAGAGGTTCAGAACAGGTCCTTAGTCCCGGCCTTTAATGGGATAACTCCAGTCTTCAGCCCATACTCAGCGATCCTTGCAGAATGTTTTCAGATTGCAGAATGTATTGGTACAATCTCTTTGTAGTATTGTAACCGGGAAGCAAACATGGTGGCGCACAATTTAGCTAGACACGCAGTTAGCACAAATTCTTTTGTTTTTTGGACTGATAATCCTCCTAGCTTTATTGTTTCAGATGTTATAAACAATGTAACTATGTTCAAAATTTAATAAAGTGCGCCACAAAGGCTTTCCCTAAAAAAACTGGGTCGGCCCACTAAGGCCCGTCCGGCGGCCCTTCAGAGGCCCAGGAGGCAGAGCACCCCTACATCGACCGTTCCAACAGGCCCCTGGGCAGTCCACCTTGAGCACTCTATGCCCTCCTGCCTTCCACCTCTCTCGCGCAGCAACAATGGTGGTTGGCGACTGGTCGACGGGACGGCGAGGATCGTGACGGCGTGGTGGCACGAACAACTGAAGGTAATCACCTCCATGCCTCCTCATCTGATGCCCACATTTTAGCTTGTGATTGCGCCACTATGGTTAGGGTTTTACCGAGATTTTGGGTGGTTTTGTAGGCCAAAAGATATGATTTTTGTGTGATTTAGCTGTAGATTTTGTTCGTACACAACAAAGATTAATTCGATTCGCCTTATTTGTCTATTTCAGTGAAATCATGGACCCAAGTGATATTTTGAATGCCTGTTTCCATTTGGGTGGCCAGTTCGTCCGAATTGGTCCTAATTTGCAATATGTTGGGGGAGAAGAAGCTTTGTCAGAGATAGAAAGGAACAAATTGTCGCCACAGGAAGCGAAGGGCTATGGCACTGAAGGAATCAATGAAGTTCTATTTTCTGGTTCCTCGTTCAGAACTTCTCAATGGCCTGATGTTTCTGAATGATGACAACAAGTGTGTGCAGATGGCAAATTATGTATGTGTTGGTGTAGTTGTAGATGTCTTTGTGGAGTACCATGGAGAAGAAGATAGTGCTAACAGTAGCAGTGGGAGTGACTTTGAGGATGAGATTGTGGCATTGACAGATTCTGAACCTGATCTTGTCATCAATGCTGCTGAACCTGCTGAGTCTGAGAATGATGTGCTCATCACTGATGAAATAGGTGTGGTCACAGAAATTATGAGCAGCCCATTGAAGCATAGAACAATCAATGCAAGGCCAAGTGAACATGCAGTTGCTGCAGGGCATGAAAATGTCGATCAACATCCAAATGTCAGTCAAATTGTAGTTTCTCAAGTGTTTGATCCAACTCAACATACAGTTGATGCAGCAAATCAAAACCAGGTTGGAGGTGCAGTTGCTAGTGGTAACAAATCAAATTTTGATTCAGAGGGTGATTTTGAGTACATTCCACATACCGATGACAATGGACAAGATTCAGAGGTGGTGGAGCTAAGGAGGCATGCTAGAAAGTTCAAGAAAAGAATGAAACAGAGCAAGAGTTGGATTGGAAGAGATGCATCAGGTCCAGTACCAATTGAGCTTGTTGCCAACATGGAGCAACAAAAAGAACGAGAAGAAGAGGATTGGAAGTATGATTCTTCTGATGAGGATTACAGTTATGAGGAAGTTCTAATGGAGAGATGGTTAAGAGAAAGAGCAAGTTTCCAAGGGATAACAATGGCAATGAGATACCACATTTTGCATTGTCCATGGTTTTCAGAAGCAAGAATCAGCTTTGCAAAGCTTTGAGAAGGTATGGTCTTGTTACTAAGAGGAGTATCAGGTTCATGAAATCAAAAAGTGACAGAGTTAGGGCCAAGTGTGGATGAGATGGATGCCCTTGGCTCATCTATGCAGCCAAAAGATCAAGAACATCTAGATTCCAAGTGATCACTTTCAATGATGAGCATGAATGTGCATAGAATAGGTGTAACAGCTTGTCTGCTAAGTTGATTGCACAGAGGTATGAGCACTTATACTAGCTAATCATATGCGGAAAATATAAAGCATGAAAGCCATTGTATTGCAAGACATGTTTGTTGATGTTTTAACCTCAAAGTGCAAACATGCAAGGTCAATTGTGATGGACAGATTGATGAGTGGTATGAAGAATGACTATACCAAAGTGTTTGATTACCAATTGGAGTTGCTTAGGAGCAATCCTGGAAGCACTGTTTTGTGTCTGGATCGACAAACATGGACCAAAATATATTTTAGAGTTTCTATGTTTGCTTCAATGCAATGAAGTAAGGATTCAAGGCTGGATGCAGGAAAGTGATAGGCCTTGATGGATGCTTATTGAAAGCGGCAATGAAGGGTGAGCTCTTGTGTGTTATAGGTAGGCATTGCTAACAATTGGATGTATCCACTTGCTTGGGTTGTAGTTGAGCAGGAAACCAATGAAACTTGAAAATGGTTTTTTGTGCTACTCATCAAGGATCTTAACATCAACAACAATGGAGCTGTTGGGTGTTTATCTCTGATCAACACAAGGGCATAATCAATGTCATGAAGGACTATCTTCCAGCTGTAGAGCACAGGATGTGTGCTAGGCACGCATATGCTAACTGGATGAAGAAGCACAAAGCTCATGACTGGTAGAAAAAAAATTGGGTTGTTGCCAAAGCTTCCAATAAGCAAGATTTCAGCTATTACAATTCCAAGCTTGCACAAGAGACACCTGAAGGGGCTAACGACATGATGAGGACAGAGCCAATGCATTGTGCAAGGGCTTTTTTCCAGTGGATCAAATTAGAGTCAGTTGACAATAATCTTTGTGAGTCATTCAACCATGCCATTGTTGATGCTAAATTCTATCCAATTATTTCTATGCAAGAGAAGATTAGGAAGAAAATATTGGTGAATTCAAGAACAGAAGGAGAAGGGTGAGAAACTGACATGGAAAATATGCCCTCGCATATTTAAAAAGATCGAGAAATCTATTGCTTGGACACAATATCTTGACGTGCTTTGGAATGGAGAAAATGGGTTTGAAGTGAAGCATATCAATGGAAGGGGAAGACAGTACACTGTTGATCTTGTAAAAAGTACATGCTCCTATGGCTATTTGGTTGGTCTCCCTTGCCACCATGCCATTGGCGCTATCTACAAGTGTAAGAAGAAAATTGAAGATTACACTCATCCTTGCTACTCTGTTGAGGTGTTCAGAAAAAAATATGAGCCTGCTTGCTTGCAGCCTATAGAAGGGGAGGAGATGTGGCCTGTGTCTGCAAATCCTAGGCCTGAAGCTCCTGAATATGTGAGAATGCCAGGAAGATCTAAGAAAAATGATAGGTGATGTCTACTATGCAACTTTATCCTTGTAGACGTTATTGGGCCTCCAAGTGCAGAGTTTTGTAGGACAGTAGCAAATTTCACTCAAGTGAATGACCTAAGGTTTATCAATCCGTGGGAGGCGTAGGATGAAGATGGTCTCTCTCCAACAACCCTGCAACCAAATAACAACGAGTCTCTTGTGTCCCCAACACACCCAATACAATGGTATTTTGTATAGGTGCACTAGTTCGGTGAAGAGATGGTGATACAAGTGCAATGTGGATAGTAGATATAAGTTTTTGTAATCTGAAAATATAAAAACAGCAAGGTAACTAATGATAAAAGTGAGCGAAAATGGTATTGCAATGCTTGGAAACAAGGCATAGGGTTCATACTTTCACTAGTGCAAGTTCTCTCAACAATGATAACATAATTAGATCATATAACAATCCCTCAACATGCAACAAAGAGTCATTCCAAAGTCACTAATAGCGAAGAACAAACGAAGAGATTATTGTAGGGTACGAAACCACCTCAAAGTTATTCTTTCTGATCGAACTATT